AAACATCTCTGGGCTTCAGAGAAGCCTGGGGAAGCTTTCATGAGTCAGAAAAAACAGGTGACATTCATCCTGTAACAGGGGCTCTGCTGGGTGCTCCAAGGACATTATCTTATTTCATTCTCAGAAGGGAGGTGGGTGTTCTCCCCATTATACAGGGCAGGTTACTAAGGTTCAGATGCGGAGAGACTTGGTCAGGTTCAGACCTCCAGTGAGTGACTCCAAAGCCCCAGCTGCTCCCTGGCAGTCTCCTGCAGGTTCTCAGCCACGCCGGCCAGTACCCAGGGCCCGCCGCCCTCTCTGTGAAGTACGAAGCCACAACTGGCCAATGGCAGCTTGCACTCAGCTGGGCCGTGGCATGCCCATCTGAGGAGGGGGCTCAGGCCAGGTGTTGGCTTGGAGTGGATTCAGCAGTAGGAGTGGCTAGTCCAGACAGGAATGATGATTTATTTCTTTGTCACTACTATGTGAAAAAAAAGGTGGTCTGTACTCTGTCATGTGGTATGCCAGCAGTGACTGTGAATTCATTTCACAGACAGTACTGAGTACTTCTGGGGTACGAGCAGCATCCACGGGGGAGACAGGTCATCGTCGATAGTTATCAATAAATGAAGATCTGGGAGAACTTCAGACAGAACCTTGAGTTAGATCTTGAACACAGTGAGGGAACTTTAATTAGGAAGAGGAGAGGGCATTCGTGGAAGGAGGAACGACCTGAGCAAAGGCATGAAGGAAGAAAAGCACATGGCATGCTTAGGGACTAAGGAGGAAACCTGCCTGGTTGCAGGGACTTGGCGAAGGGACAGGGTGGCAGTGCTCCTGGGAAAGAGGTGGGAACATCTGGCATCATGGATGCTAGGCTTTGGGGCCCAGAATTGCGGGTTATTGGAACTGGAAGCAAATGTGCCTTAATCCTTATCCTTTCACTGCCCTAGAGCAATTATTTATTTGAGAGAGAGATGGGGGGAGAGCACAGAGGGAGAGGGAGAAGCAGACTCCCCGCTGAGCAGAGAGCTGGATGTGGGGAGCTCTATCCCAGGCCCCTGCCCTGGAGCAGTTACCAGGCAGAACAAGCCCTGTCTCCTGGGGGTACAGCGCAGAGCCCCTGGGGCCTGCAGAGCAGCAGCCCTCTGCCACGCTCTTTAGCTCTCCGGCCAGAAGGCTTGATCCCCAGACAGGAGGGTTTTTTGTGTTGTTTTGTTTAACCACTCGAACACACGTGGAATTTTAAAGCAAACCCCTGCTTGTTCCCCTTTGGCAGTTCCGGTTTAGTCAGCCCAGCGTGAAGCCTGACATCTGAATGGTCAGAGCAGCTCTGCTGATTTTGCTCTGTCCTAAGCAATGACCCCCCCACACACACACACCAGCATGGCTGCCCCCTGAGGACTCGGATCACCAACCCTGAACTGGCCAGGAGCAAGAGCTCAGGGGGCTGTGGGCGCCCGATCGCAGAGCAGCTGAAGCCAGAGGAAGACATGTTCAGGGATGGAGGGGCTGGGGCTTAGAAATGTGTCAATTTTATCCCCCAAGAAGGTTTAATTCTCCCTGAGTAGGAAACTGTGAAAGCACTTCCGTTTTTCAGTGACACAACCGCTCTGCACCAGCCCAAACTGTATAATAAACAAAGGAAATGTGTGAAAACACACTGGCTTTTCTCAAGTTAATACCACATTCCGTTCCCAGCGCAGAGAATGCACTTTTGTCTAGTGGAGAAAGACTGGGCCTCTGACAGCCAGGATTTGGAGAGCTGGACAGGCCCTTAGTCACTAGGTAAGCTGGGTAAACCAAGGCCCACAGTGAGGGTACCTTAGTTAAGATCACGTGATAATCTGTGGAAGAAGCAGGTCACTGACCCAGGCCTCTGATTCTGATTCCAGGGCTTTTTTTTTTTTTTTTTTTAAAGTAGTTTCCACACCCAGTGTGGAGCCTACCATGGGGCTTGAACCCACAACCCTGAGATGAAGACCTGAGCTGAGTCAAGAGTCTGTCACTCAACCAATCAGCCACCCAGCACCCCTGACTCCAGGACTTTTTGACAAGTTAAGTGACTTGCCAAGGTCACAGAGCCAGGCAATGGCAGGGCCAGGGCAGGAACCCAGCTCTGTGTGAGTCCACGCCCATGCTAGGGCTTCTGCCTCTGAGGTGTTTGGGTTCTGAGTAAGACTCGACGCCCGGGCAGTAAGGAATGTCAGTGGTCAAGGTCGGTAAAGCTGCCTAGCAGAAGTCCCACGCTTTATATTATAATAAAACTGGGGAAAGGGGAGGAAAAAAGAGAATCCTGTGCTTTCTCCACCAACACACTTGTTCAGCTGTCCTGTAACCTTGTGTTTTCTCATCTGTCTCCCTCCCAGGCTATGAGCTCCTCGGCGACTGACACTCAGGCGTCTCTGTATCCGCAGTGCCCACATCAGGGAAAAGTACCCTGAGCCCACGGGGCATGATTGTTGAATTCCTTCGAGAATTCACCTGACAGGTGTTAAGGAGTACCCACTCTGTGCCAGGCACTTGGTTAGGTGGAGAGTACGACCTCCGCAGAATCCAATATCTGCCTCTACAGCATTTGCAGCCCTTTCGGGAATTAAAGAAACACGGGGCCATGTGAGTCCAAACAGGATGACAACGTATGGTAAGTGCCGTGCATGGAAAGGAGTGGGGCTTGGTGAGACCCAGCGAAGGTGCTGCTGGGGGGATGGGTGGGGCAGGCCCTTCTGAGGCAGGGACGTGGAAATGGCGATCTAAAGGAAGAGAAGGAGGAAGAGATGTAGGGTGCGAGGAAGCGAGTTGCAGGCAGGAGGAACAGCCTTGTGGAGACCCTGAGATGGGGGAGGGGTTGGTCTGGTCTACAAGGCCCGTGGGACTGGAGTGAGTGGGGCCTGGATGAAGTGGGGTGCTGGCAGGGGTGGATCGGGCAAGGCCTTGGAGATCAGGGGAAGAGTGAAAGGGTTTGTTGGAAATGCCGTGGCAGCCATGGATGGTTTTTGGGTTAATGGATAGCACAGCCCAGGTGGCTTTTCAGGAGGTGGTTCTGACCACGGGGTGTGGAACAGGTGGGAGGGGAACAGGAACGAAAGCAGGGAGCCTGGTGAGGTGACCGTGGAGTCTGGACCTGTGCATTGGGGAGGAAGCTGGGTTGGATTTGGGGGAGAAGAACCAGCCGCAGTCACTGACGGACAGGCTGGTGGTGGGAGTGGGAAGGGAATAATTAGCAGGGAGGCGTGAAGAACTGGGTGATTGGAGCTGCCGTTTATGGACCAGCAGAAAGCAGAAGGAAATGGTTTGTGGGGTAAAATCACGGGCTGGCTGCACAGATTTGAGACACGTGTTAAGCATCCGGAGGCGATGTCAAATAGGTAATTTTTTTTTTTAAAGATTTTATGTATTTATTTGACAGAGATCACAGGTAGGCAGAGAGGCAGGCAGAGAGAGAGAGAGGAGGAAGCAGGTTCCCTGCTGAGCAGAGAGCCCGATGTGGGGCTCGATCCCAGGACCCTGGGATCATGACCTGAGCCGAAGGCAGAGGCTTTAACCCACTGAGCCACCCAGGCGCCCCTTCAAATAGGTAATTTGAGTGTGGGGGTCAGATGAGAGGCCTGGGTGTACTTGGGAGTGTCGGGCTTGCAGGGGTACATCAAAGCCACAAGGATGGACGAGAGAAGCTTTGAGAAGCAGAGGAAGAGAGCCTGGGATGGAGGGGCAGAGAACAGGCAACAGCTGGGAGGAGGAATTCCAGAGGGAAAGGGGGATCAGCTGCTCTGTCAAGTGCATCAGCTGCGTGGAGAGAGGTCATGCAGAGCCGGAACTGAGTGACCTTGGATTAAGCAACATGGAAGCTACTGGTGACCTTCACTGACTCAGTGAGTAACTCAAAAGATGCATAAAGAGGAGACAACAGCTAGAGTGGATTGAGGAGTCAGGGAAAACTGTGGATTGAGGTGTTAAGGAAAGCTTTTAGAGGGAGGGAGGCAGCCTTTCTGCAAGATCCTTGGGAGGCTGAGTTCTGAGAGACCTAAATGCTGTCTGTAGGAGACTGAACTGAACTTGACAAAGCCCCTCCCCAACCCTGATGCGGGAGCAGAGGGTACAGCTGGAGGGAAAGGTGGGGAGGAGCTGGCTCTGCTCAGTAGTGGGGAATCTGATGACCTTGCCCTAGGAGACAGAACCCACTACCCCCAACCAACACACACAGGGGACTCAGAGACGTATGTTCACATCCCTCCATGCACAGAAGTCCTGGGAGGTGAGGATTCCAAACCCACAGCCTCAGAGCAAAGAAGGGCTCTCAGGCACCACCTGGAGCCGCCAGCTCATTACACAGAGAGGGGCAAGGTCTGGCTCTAAGTCACCCAGCATGTCAGTGATAGGGGATAGGTGATCTCCACTGATTTCCAGTGGCCCTCCCCCAGTGAGTCAAGCGTGACTTCTTTAGCCCGGCACACAAGGTCTTTCCTGCTTGAGCAAGAACCCAGCCCCTCCCCAAAATCTAGCACACACAAGCATGCGTAGCCAGGGGCAGTCCTCGCAATCACCCTTTAGAGTAGTTGTTAAGGTTCTCATTTTGCAGACAAGGAAACTGAAGCTCAGAGGAGTCTGGGCACCTGTCCTAGTTTGCCCATCTGAGCCTGGTTATCATCTCACGAGTGTCTCCAAAGTTGTCTTTCCCCTATGCTCTGCTGCATTCACCATAAACAGCCTCTCTGGGAAGCCGTCCCCGAACTCCCAGGCCCTGAGTCACCTGGGAGTGGGGTCACGTCCCCCGACACCAAATCACTTGTTTAAGTCACAAAAAAGTCCATTGAATGGGCCTGAAATCAGTGGTGCCCCTGATGCCCCAGGCCCCAGCAGCCCGGGCCACCACCTAATGACCACAGGGACCCCACAGGCACGCTATTCCCAGGGCCCATTGACCCAGGCCAGCCACCCACAGCAGGAGTGTGCCCCCCGCATTGGCACAGGACCCTCTCCCCTCCCAGCCCCAACCGCCCAAACCCCTGCCCCTTCCTCACCTGGAGACCACCAGTGGTAGGATCAGCATCTTCAGCATCCGCATCAGGAGCTCCCCAGGAAACTGGAAGTAACTAATTTCCTGAAAATACAGCAAGAGCAGGGGTTATAGAAGGCTGCTTACAGTCTCCGAGCACTGTTTCACCCGTGCACTCCTGGGGAGCACAAGGACACGGAGGAAGTGACGGCTGGGGAGCCACAGATTTGGATTCTAATCTTGACCTCCTGTAACTAGCTGTGTGGCCTTAAGCAAGTTACTCAGCCTCTCTGAGTTTTTCTCATCTTTACATAAGGGTTGCAGTCTCTTGGTAGGAGCCTTTGGAGGCTTCAGTGTGAGGAGGCACGGAAAGCACCTGGCAGATGGGATGGGAGTAAAGGCTCTGTAATGGCGGTAAGTGGCAGGTCTCCCTGACGTCTGCTCGGTCCACCCGCCTGTTCGAGGTGTACGTGTGTCTCCTGCAGCAGATGGTCAGTGGCAGGAGGGCAGGGCTGGAGACCATTCACACATTTACTCAGCCCAAGCTGGGCAGGCCTCATGCTGGGCACCCCAGAATGAATGCAGCCCCGCTCCTGCACCCAAGATTGCTCAGCCCAGTGTGTGAGGAGACTGACTCAGAGACAGAGCACGGCCTTCTTGAGTCTGTGCCTCCTCCTGCAAGGGGGTACACCCATGGGTGCAGTTCCCCCCAATACCACACCAGGTCCCTGCCAGCAAACCTGCTATGCACACATGGAAAATGCTGAAGGAGAGCACATCGGCTGGAGTGGGTGGGACGCCACTCAATAAAGAGCCCCTACCCGCAAAGTTCTTGGCATTCAACTTCCGCACAGGTTCATCCTACCCATGGGGCCTTGGATTGGGGGGCCAAGTCTGTGTCCCCCTCCCTCATCAGCTGTCTCCAGAGTCACAGGACCAGAACCTGACAGTGAAGTAGAAGGGCCCCTAAGCCCAGTTGACTTTAAATTTCAGATGAACAACAACTGAAATACAAATTTAACTGAGTGTGTGGTTTTTAAAGTTTTTAAATTTAATTTAACTCAGTTTTGCTATTTCTGGCAAACCTAGCTTGAGGCTACTTTTCCGAGGGTAATGTTGTGAGTGAGGCTGGTACAGGGACTTTCAAGCACCATCCAAGTTAAATTTTTGTACTTGCAACCCTCTTTCTCTCCCTCCTTTCTCCCTCTCTCCCTCCGTCCCTCCCTCCCTTCCTTCCACCGAAGCTAAACACTTGGTTAATGGTTTGATGCTTTGGAAAGCCCCAACTCATATAATTTTGGTGCTGAGAAGGGGTTTTAAAGATCTTCTAGTTCAACTGAGCTAAAAGACAGGGAGGACTTAGCGGTGACAGTGCAGGCCCAGAAATCAGGCCTCCTTTCCTGTTCTATCCTTTCCAGTGCTCCAGAAATCTTTATGAAATAAGGGTGAATGGGAGAGAAACTTTTGAGTCCTTACATGAGCAAAAATACCTTTATCCTACCCTTACCTCGGATAGTAGTCTGGCCGTATATAAGATTCTTAGTTTGAAAGAATTTTCCCTCCAAATTTCAAAGGCATTTCCCTTTGTCTTCTGGATTCCAGTGCAGTGTATGTTTGGAGCCATTCTTCCTATCCCTTAGTGGAGACTTGTTTCATTCCCTCAGAACCACTGAAGGATTTTCTGTTAATTTCCAGTTTTCTATAACCTTCATGGTGATGTACCACCGCCTGAGATTTTCTTCTTTCTTTTAAAAAAAAAATTCATAGTGCTATGCATACATTTCAATTCTGAGAACTTTCTTACAGGCTCTGTGAAATTTTCTCTCCATTTTTTCTGTTAGCTCTCTCAAAACCTCATACATACTAGAGAGGTAGATGTTGGACATCTCCAATTTTCTTCTATTTCCATCTCGTTTTGTTTTACTTTCTGGGAGATTTCTGCAACTTTATCCTAGCTACTGACATGTTTGTCTTGCCTCATCGATTTTTAATTTCTAAAAATTCTTTCTTCTCGGATTGTTCCTTTTTGCATCCTGTTCTGTTTTACGGTCACTGTATCTTCTCTTACATCTCTGAAGAACTTAAGATTTTAAAATTTTTCTTCTATTTCCTGCATTGTCTCTGCTTCATTAGAGACCCTCTTTTCTGTTTCTTTAGTACCTGTCTTTCTGTTACAAGCTTTGACTTTGGCTTTCTCCTCGTATGTAAGTGTGAGGCACTGAACTTACGTGTGCATGAATGGAAATCGTCAGGTGATGGCTCCTTGAGGACAGGTGATGGGTGACAGTCTGGTTTGTTTACTCTGGATAGGGTGGGATGGGGGAGGAGATCTTTTTTCTGAGGCTCAGTGAGAAGTCTCTTCTGACCTCCACTAGGGGCTGAGGGTGTGCCTAAGCCCAGCTGATGGCAGTCTTACAGGGATCCCACACTGCAGTGCAGATACCCAGTCATTTGCGGGACACATGTGCTTCATCACCTCCCCTCCCCCAACCCACACAGGTGGACCGATTTCCCTGCCAGGCTTCTCTGTGAGACACAAGCAGGTGGAGATGGGTGGATGAGGAGTGCCCTGATCACATGGACTGGAGCAGACTGACGGGCTTAACTGCTCCAGTTACAAAATTTCAACCAATGCCCCTGATTTCACCTCCTGGCTTCACCTGGTCTCCTGCAGCTCTTTGCACTTTCAAGTGCAGAAACTTTCTGGAGTTTTCCAAGCCAAACTGACATGGCATCTACTTCTCTAGACACAGGCTTTAGCTTTCTGTGCTCTCCTAAGTGAGATCATTCAACTCTATCCACTTGCCATCTTGCCTAATTTATGGTACTCCCTCAACTTCTTTTCTCAGTTGTCTCCTTTTATGTTCTCTTGGGAGCTTTTATCTTTTTAAAAATCCCATAAGTATAATTTTAGTGGAATTCCAGGAAAGAAAGGAAAATGGATGCAACTGTAAATTTACCATGGTTTAACTGGAATTCTCAAAATAATCTCTATTTTTATTCATTTATTTATTTTTGGAGAGTCAGAGAGAGCATGCATGCACGAGCACGGGAGGGGGAGGGACAGAGGGAGAGAGAGAGAGAGAATCCCAAGCAGGCTCACATGGGGCTTGATCTTAAAACCCCGAGATCATGACCTGAGCTGAAGTCAAGAGTTAGACACTTAACTGACTGAGCCTCCCGGGGGCCCCTCAAAATGATCTATATTTTTTCATGAGCTACTAGTTCCAAAAATCTGTGCTTTTGTAAGTTCTTTTCACAAGTAGGACATGCTTCCATTTTGCAAATTGTTTATGACTTTTGCCTGTTGCATAAGCTTGCAAAATAAGAAGGGTTTAGTTTCTGAGTCACAGGCGGAGATCATAGAAACAACTCCTGGATTTCCAAGTAGCATGCTGAGAAAGTCAACTCCTGCCAAGTAACTTCTCTAAGACTCCACAGCCTTTCTTCGGTTTATCTGGCAGGTTAATCCAGACCGGAACACATTTGCACTTCCAAGCAGATGGGGCAGGCAGCTTTGGCAAGGGAGGCCCCAGATGAGCTTGGCTTTTAGTAAAAAGCATTCCAATTTGTTTTCACAAAATAATCTTCCTGCAGGAAATGTATTTGTTGTTGCTCAGGGAAATTAAAGAAAGTAGATTGCAGACTGTTTGCGTTGTTGCCTGTTTAATTCAGCAAAGAGGCAAGGGCTCGCTCTGCGACAAGCCTGAGCTAGACTCACATTTTGGCTCATGAAAGCCCATGTGATGTTCAGCAAGTCAAAATCTGCTGGGAGCTCCAGACACCTGCACAAAAGGCTCCGGAGCGGGACAGCCGGCAGCTGGTTACAGGGGAAGGCTGAGTGTGATGTGAGCGAGGGAGAAGAGGATTATTTCAGATGGGGGCAGGAATGGGAGAATTTTTGTAAGGTATGGAATATGAGATGACTCTCGACACAGGTAGGCCTTGGACAGGCAGATAAGGGAGGGAGGAGTCAAGTACCAGCTACTCAGCCCTGCTGTAGGCCAGGCACCACTGAGTCCTTGTTTATGCTCCTGACAGTTCCAGTAGACATGTGGTGCCCCCACCCCGGACAAGGAAAACGAGGTCCGGAAAGGAGATAGGATTTTGCCAAAGGCCACACAGCCGCTTATGAGTAGAGACCAAGTTCAAGGCTCTGAAAAGCCTCCAGAGTCTAAGTCTCTTTCTTAATATCTGAGAGTGGCTTAACAGTGTTAGCCTTGAAATAGGGGCTCAGTTTTCAGGGAGGGGGTGTTTCCCTTTTCACGGAAGATGAAGTCTGACGCTTAAGCCCCAGGTAGGTCATCTTCAGTGTTGGGGAGCTGCAGGAAGAGGAGTCTTGTGAAACAGAGGATCTTCCAGAAGCCCATTGACAAAGACTCTCTCCTCAAAGAGACATGACACTGGCCACCTGGGGCCCTCATTTTGGCCAGGCCTCATTCTTAGGTCTTGTCTTTGGCCTGCCTGGCTCAGTTAGAGCAAAAATCCTGCTATGTTCATTTAGTGAGAATGCCCCCTCTCTACCTTCGGCAAGAATCCCTCTACCCTCCCCGTCTCCTCTTAGCAATGCTCTCTCAGTTGGCCCCTCACTATGTTCCCTGTCTCTAAGCCCCAGCTATTTTGTTGTATTCAGACTTGAGCCTGATCTCTCTCCCCTAGTCCATGGTCTTGACACCTATCCCAGTAGTCCTGAATGAAGTCTCCCTTACTGTTTTAACAAGGGTCAGAATCATGTTTTCTCCAGTGCCATACGAGTGTCCCTCCCTGTCCTGTGGGAGGTGGGTGCTGAGAGGGAAAGGGGCCCTTGCTCAGACAAGGCATCGCCACCCTTGTGGTTACACAGGCCAGAAACCCGGGGGCCTGTGCTGCTTCCCAGCCCCATAGCCAATGCACCCCCACATCCTGAGGGTTCCTTTTCTGGAAACAGGTCCCACATGGGCCCCGTTCATCCTGCTGTCAGGTCTCACCCCTGTAAATACCTCCTCGCCTGACCCCTGCCTGGCCCACGACTTCCTCATCCTGCACTCAGCACCAGAGTGATCTCTCCAAACTGAGATCTGATCATTTCACTCCCCTGCCCAAAGCCTTGCACGGTGGGGCCAGGCCCCTGAGGGCCCCTGGGCTCCAGCCCTTGCCTCACAGGGTACATCCCCCCACTGCCATGAATGGTCTGCTCCACACATGCCCAGGTCTTTTATGGCCCCGAGTCTTGCTCCAGCTCTTCTTTCTGCTCGGGATACCCTTCCTGGTCTCTCTCCATCTGAGCTACTGTGGGAGGTGTTCTCTGATGCCTGCTTTGCGGTCTTCCAAGACCCCGTTCTCCCAGCTCCCATGCCTCTTCACCCTGTGCTTATTCTAATGAGATGCCCTGGCCTCTTGCTCACCCGGTGATGCTGTCTGTAACTACTTCCCCTGCCATTTTACCAGCTCTCACTCTAACCCCACAGTGTTTCATCACACCCATGCTACAGATAAGAAGACTGAGACTCATAGAGGCAAAGTGACTCCTCCACTCTCATGTCACCAGGGAGCCACGGAGTGGGACTGTGATTCCCAGATCCCTCAGGCCCACATACTCCTCCTTGGCAGGGACCCTGAGAAGCTCTGGGTGGCTGACCTGTGGTGAGAGGCGACGGGTCCTCAGGAAGAAGCCGAGAAGGCAGCCCACGGTGACGGACAGCACAGACAGGATGAGTAGTCCATTTCTCTTGCACACGTCCTTCCCTCGTGCCAGGATGGCACCTGGCACCATGGTGAGCCCAGCCTGCTGGCCCGGGGCACGGTACCATTCCATGCACGTGAAGCCAGCCGGGGTCACAGGGTCCCAGCCAGGGGCTCTGGCTGCTTGGCAGGCCGGGGGAGCAGTTGCTAAGCACCGGTCACCAGCCCCACGGCCATGGCCTGCATGGCTGCCCCAGAGGGAAGCCACAATCCTATTACCGGCTACATCATTAGGAGCCAGAAACAGATTAGGGCCTGGGAAATTAGAGCAAGCCACGTGGTCTGGGGTTTTGGACCTCAAAGCCAAGTGCACCTCTTTTTTTTTTTTTTTAATTTTATTTTTTATAAACATATAATATATTTTTATCCCCAGGGGTACAGGTCTGTGAATCGCCAGGTTTACACACTTCACAGCACTCATCATAGCACATACACTCCCCAATGTCCATACCAAGTGCACCTCTTAAACAGGGGAGGGGCCCAGAGATTTGCTTGGTTGGTTTGATTTTTACCCGCACTTTATTCCAGAAAGAGCTGAAGGCAAAGCAATAAGCTACTAGCAGTTAGTAACATTAATTAAGCATTACTGTGTACTAGGCGCTATTCTAGAAGCACATTACTTGCACTAGCACATTTAATCCTAATAACCAGTTCCAAGAAGTAATTACTAGGAGTATCATTTTATAGATGAGGAAACTGAGACAAAGGGCATGCGCTGTGTGCCGGGCCCATTCACTTGCTTGACCTGTGTGAGTTGTAGGGGTCATCGCGACAACCCTAAGATTCCAATGATTGCTTTCCTGAAAGGGAGATCAAGACCCCAGGAATTAGAGTCTTCTGGTCGTGGTCACGGAGCTCGCAGTAGCAGAGTGGAATTCAGGCCTGTGATGGTTTGATTGGCGTCCCAGGGACAGATAGATGGCTTCAGAAGTGCTTAGCAGTATCGTGGGGCCTGTAGGCTCTGAGTCCAGTGCACCTGGGTTCAGACTCGGGGCCTGCCATTCACTGTGACCTGTATCCCTCACTGTTGCTTCAAGCCTGAAGCTGGGACTCTGCAGGCTCTCAGGGCCTGTTATTTTTTAAAATGACACAGCCCAAGGGACCTATTCAAGTCCCAGCTCTGCCATTGACCAGCTGGGTGGTATGACCCTGGGCACTGTGCCTCAGTTTTCCCATTCATAAGACAAACATAATAATGGCACCTGCTTGGTTGGGGCTGGTGCAGCGTCCCATCCCAAGATTCTTTGTGAAAGCAGGGCTGAACCGTGCTGGGTGGAACAGGGGAGAGGGCTGTGAGGATCACTGTCCACATTTAGCAATTTTTTGAGAAAGGTTTCCTGGTTGCTCTTTCTCATGGCCTGGACTGCCCTTTAAAGCTAGAGGGAATTAACTCTAGTCTGTTTCCTGGGGAGTCTGTAATCTCATTAGGGGCAGTCAGGCGGCAGCAGGGAGTGCAGTCTGTCGTAGGGGGGTTGTGCAGGGAGGGAAAGGGCTGCCTCCCCTGACACAGGGAACAAGGAGGACAGTGGAGAGGATGGGGCCGAGGAACTGCGGGGTCCAGGCAGAGGGGGCCGGGTGTAGGCCCTAAGCTACGCACAGAGCTCCCAACTGGGAGGGGACCCTTGGATATTGGTCCCAACATAACCAGCTCTGTGACCTCACCCTCTCTGGGCCTCAGTCTTGCTGGCCTTCGAATGAGAGAAGCAGTGGGTGTGGGGGACCTGGCTGACTCAGTCAGTAGAGCATATGACTCTTGATATCAGGGTTGTGAATTTGAGCCCCAAATTGGGAATGGAGCCTACTGAGAAAATAAGTAAAAAGTCTAAAAAAAAAAAAAAAGAGAGAGAATCAGGCTGAGTGCTTTCTGAGGACCCCTCTGTTCAACAGGCCAAACTTCCGAAGGCCCTGCCCTTTGCTGGTAACTTTGGGGAGTAAGGGTAGAGTGACTTCAGGTCTGTGAGGTATGTTTTCTCCAACTCTGATTCTTAAAATCAAGAATTTTCTGACATGACACTCCAAGGAATGCCTCATTTTCCAGTTAATCAGTTGGTTTAGTTACTGTCTAAAAGAGAAAGTATTCTCTTTTATTTGGATATTTGGATTCGTGTGTGTGTGTGTTTGTTTTTTTTTTTTTTAAAGATTTTATTTGTTTGACAGAGAGATCACAAGTAGGCAGAGAGGCAGGCAGAGAGAGGGGGGGAAGCAGGCTCCCCGCTGAACAGAGAGCCCTATGTGGAGCTTGATCCCAGGACCCTAGGATCATGACCTGAGCCAAAGGCAGAGGCTTTAACCCACTGAGCCACCGAGGTGCCCCTGGATTCGTGTTTTAATCCATGTCCAGGCTTGGCCCTTAGCCACACCACTGATGCAGGTGTGCCTTGCTCTCCATGTCAGCCTCAAGACTCTGACTCCCAAGGTGACCCCACAATGGCTTCTGTCTCCCATCCTTTCCCCTCTGACAGTACCACCCCCTACCTCCCAGACTCCAGGCCTTTCTTTCCTCTGTTCCCATTGTCTTCAACAGGCAAAATTACAACTCATTCAATCAAACGTTTTGTTTTGTTTTGTTTTTAAGATTTTATTTATTTATTTGTCAGAGAGAGAGAGGGAGAGAGAGCAAGCACAGGCAGACAGAATGGCAGGCAGAGGCAGAGGAAGAAGCAGGCTCCCTGATGAGCAAGGAGCCCGATGTGGGACTCGATCCCAGGACGCTGGGATCATGACCTGAGCCGAAGGCAGCTGCTTAACCAACTGAGCCACCCAGGCGTCCCTCAATCAAACGTTTTTACAGCACTTTGTCATGCCACCCGTGCTGGGTACTAGGGACACAGCAACGTGTTGACACAGTACTTGCCTTCAGGAAGCTTGTAAGAAAATTGAGGGGGCTCTAAAAGAAGACCCAATTCACACTCACATGTAAGTGACTGAGAATGAGCTTACTAAGGATATTTGCGAATCAAATCGAAAAGGTCCTAGATAAGAATCCGTTAATAGCTCCCTGTTGCCCACAGACTCAGTTGCCTTACAATGTTACAAGATATGCAAAAATTTTTTTAGTAATTAGAAACAAGTTGGGAAATGCTGGTTGAAACAAAGTTAAGTGGGTTCTTTACTCAAGAACAATTCAAAGTCAGACTGCTCAAGTTCAAATTTTTGGTCTATGTGACCTTGGACAAATCGCTTAGCTTCTCTATAAAATAGGAATAATACCACAGTACCTAGCTGATGGGATTGTGATGTGGGTCAAATACGATGACGCGAGCTAAGTGCTCAGAGCATCGCCTGGTGCCTTGCAGACAGTCACAAGGAGTTACTGTCCGTTTCACTGTTTAGTTTTGCGATACTGACATATGTTGGAGGAAGTCTCTAAGTGCGGATGCAGAACCTCAGCCCCCTTCTGGAGCAGAGACGTCCATGGGTCTAGTGTTTGGGAAACACAACTTTGGAACACTCCAGCCTCTGGGATGAAGTCCTTGCTCCTTAGAGAAGTGTTTGAGGGCCTCGGGCTTGCGTGTGCTCACCTCCCCAGGACATCACCTCCTTGCATCCGACAGACATGGAGCTTTTCGGACACCACCCATGCGAGTCTCTCAGCCCCACACCTCTCTCCGGCCTTCCACCCTGTGCCCACGCTGTTTCCTCTGCCTGGAATGTCCTTCCCTCTGACTCCATAGGCACAGGTCCAGTGCCCCGTCGACTTTGAAGTCTTCCCCGACTCTCTGAGATACAGCATTCCTTCTCTTCCTCCTGCTCAGGCCCTTCTGCCGTCGCCACCTGCGCACTAACCCTGGCTCCCTTCTAAGTGGCTCTGACAAGGAAGTATTTATGACAACAGATTGAAGTTTCTGTTTGTTACCACGTCGCTTGGTAGGACATACTGAAGGACATACTGTGGGGTCGGGGGGCACCCCAAGGAGCAAGGAGTTGCCCTCCAGAGCAGCTGAAACTGATGGGCAGCGGGAAATCTGCGAGATGCTTCCTGGGCAACTTGAGCTGCACAGATTAAGATGCTATGGGCAGAGAAGATAAAACAGTCTTGTCAAAAATGAGCCCCAAGTCACAAGTCCCCAGTGTAGCCGCCCCGCTATGTGGAAGTGAGTTTGTAGGCAAGCTCTTTCCACCAGGGCAGCTCTGTGTTGGGTGTAATGGGGCAGGGGCCGCAAGATAGATTTTGCTAATGATTGATGGCACTCCAGCACCAGCAGAGGGATCTACTCAGCCCGGGGAGGCAGGGGTGGGAAGGCTTCCTGGAGGAGGGGTCACTTAGAGACCTGAATGTGCCAGGAGTTAACCCAAGGAGGGGGGTGCTAGTCAGGGGGGAGGCAAGAGGAGAGCCTGTTCTGAAAGAGGCGCCCAGGTTGGAGGTGCAAGGGCTGGTTCTGGAACCTGCTATGGAGCAGTGTCCTGGAGTGGCCGGCTGGCCTGGGACCTTACCTCACCCACCACGTATCAAAATAAGTTTGGGTCGAGCTGTCTGAGCTCCTAGCTGGGTTCTGGTGATGACAGTTCTAGTTTGTTGGCTGCTTTCCAGAGACATACCAGAGGCGCCTTAACCTCCTCCCTGACATGCCTTCCCAGCCTACTACAGGCTGGGTCCTTCCGGGAAGGTTTTCTGTGGACAACTTAGCTGTCTTGGTGTGGATTCCTGCGAGTGTTAGTCACTGGGGGGCTGTCCTAACCTCTGCTGAGGCTGGTCCTTTCCCTTGTTTGCCTCAGACAGGGGGTAAAGTGACGGTCATGGCGCCTTCTGGCCCCTCCTATCTAGACTGTTCGTCTCTAGAAACTGGATCTGAACATCCATGAAACCACTTAGCTGCTGTTTGTTGAACATCTACTATGTGCCAGGTTCTGTCAAAGAGCCATATACCGGAGGGAACCAGTGAGCACCCCAGCCCCTCTACAAACACAGTATCGATCAGGTGCTGGGTTACAGGGTGAAGGCATAGATTCTGGATATGGGCCATCTGATAAAATCGTACTGGTCACACTATTACATTCAGATTAATGACAAATAAAGTTTAAAATTCAGTTGTTTGGTTGCAGGAACCACATTACAAGGGCTGAAGGGCCACGCGTGGCT